TGCTGTTCTTGTTCTGTTCTTTTTTTCTCTTCTTCTGCCCTTGCTTTCTCTTCATCTTCCCTTGCCTTCCTTGCCAGGGCATTTCTCTCCAACCTCCTGAACCTTGACTCCCCCATAAAAGCCAGCCTCAGCACATCATCTGGTGCATCACAAGTCTTCTTCAAGAAGTTGTACTTTGCCTTCTCTTTGGCTGAGCCTGACCTCTTAGGCCATTTCTCTCTCCAGCCCCAGGTCTTCTCCTCTTTGTCTTGCCACCAACTCTTCTCTTGTTTCTCTTGCCACCAGCCCCAGTGGTGCCACCCAGCCTTCTCTTTGTCTCTCCATTCTTCTTCTTCTTCTTCTTCTTCATCTGCCCAGCCACTCCAGCTCTCTTTTGTGGCATCATCATCCCAACCATCACCCCAGTCAGGGGTTTCTGACTTAGAAGGCGATCTACTTTTTTTCATGGAAGACCTTTCTCAGATCCTACAGGTTGAAACCCTTTGCGCAGGGCCTATAAGGCTTGTAGTGGCCCTTGGCAGGGGGCCTGAAAACCTTTTTCACCTATGCTTGAGCAAAAGGCTTGCAGAACAAAACAAGTACTAGCTACATGCTTGAGCAAGTGTGTTCTTTGTTGAGCATTCACTCCCATTGCACTACTGCACCTTTGTTCCTTTCCAGTGTAAAGCCGTCCCAAAGCTCTTTTTCAAGGCCTTATTGCAGAGCCCTTTTGCAGGTCCCTTTTCAAGGCTTCTTGTATTTCAAGAGCAATGCATCCCTTGCATTCACAACCATTTCCTTGGTTGCATTTTTCTCCTTGGCCTTTGGGGGCAGCATTTCTATCAGCTTCCTGTGGCTCTTGCTTGTTCTTGATGCCTGTGACAAGGTGACAGCAGCAATCAATCGCTTGGATGGTCCAGGCCCAGGAACATGCTGGATGTAACTCTGCTGCTTGCCACCCCCTATGGTGACTGATGATGTGTGCATAGGCGTGCCAGCATCACCAGGGCCCATTGCCTTGCAAGAGCTGGGCTTCTTGAAAAGCTTGCTGGTTGCAGGCCTCTTGGTGGGTGGCTTGCCTACAGCCACCTTCCAGTCACACTTCAAGACTGGAGGTGGGTCTTCTTTCTGAACTGCTGCTTCACAGCTGTCCATTTCTGATTCCACATCACCTTCTTCACCTGAAGACCCTGAAGATGGCAAGCTGTGAGCCAACATTGCAGGAAACCCCTCAGAGTCCAGGGTGACTTCAGAGAGATGAGGTCTCAAGGTTTTGGTGGGCTTGGTGGGCTGCTTTTGCTCAGTCTTCTTGTACAGCCTTGTCATTGTAGCTGCTTGTGCGTTGTCTAGTTTATTGCAAAATCTCTGACAGGCAGCTTCACTTGATGTAGCCCTCCTCCAATGGTTCAACAGAACTGTTAAGCAATCTGACACTGCCCCTGCCACCACATCTCTGGGTCCCTCAAAGTGGGCAGCCAGAAGCTCTACCCCCCAGGTGGAACAAAGGTCCTCCATGCGCTTCTTCAAGTACTTGTACTTGACCTCTGCAGTGGGGGAAACATCAAGCAAGGCCTCCAGCAACAAGTTCAGCTTGAAGATGGCAGAAGGGCACTCAGATTGCCTTGCTTGTAAATGCCTGTACTGCTTCAAATCAAAGGACTGCTTCATCCCAATCCTTCTGATGTAGCCATCAAGCCTGTCAGTCAAGCCCTCCTGGTCCAAAGAAGGGAAAGGGTTTCTCTTGCATGGCTTTGAGTTGCCACCACCTTTCCTTTTCCTCACAGGTTTCATCAAAACCATGGTAGAGACCTTTGCCAGGTCCCAGCTTCCTGCCAACTTCACAAGCCCTTTTTCAAGGCCTACCTTGAACAGCCCTTGTAGCAGGTCACAGCTTGAGCCTAACACAGGCCCTACAGCAAACAGCCAATGCTTTGTGTAAACAGGCAAACCAATCAACACCAACCTGCTTTTCAATTTCAGCTTGCCTTTTTCCAACTGTGGCAACTTCAAAGGTACCTTTTGCAGGGCCCAAGCTCAGGCAGATTCAGCCCCTCTTCCATTGGTTCCAATCAGCTCTTTGGCTGGGTGGGTCCCACAAAGAAAATCCCTTGCTAAGAAAGGAATCCCTCCAAGCCTTGCCACACCTGTAGCATGTGGGGCCCCACATTGCACTTGTGCCATCCAGCCTGGCTGCCCACACCCATCCACCGCAGCTCCATGTCTGGCACTCCAAAAAGCTGTTGTAAAACCATGCCCTTGGGCACCATCAAATGGATGCAACTGGATGTAGAATGTGCACTTTGAAAAGCCATTAATGCACTAACAGTTTCTGGGCTTGGTGACCAAGTGTCTCCCTGCCTGGGCACATGTCCAAATAGTCCATGAGAACAGCTGGTGTTGAGGTCATGGGGCTCTTTTGCAGAGCCCAAGTACACCAGAGGAGCTTTTTTGCAAAGCCCAAATTTACCAAAGGAGCTCTTTTGCAAAGCCCAAGCTCCACTTTGAGCCAGCAGCTTACAAGCATGTGCACTAGTGAACTTCTGCTTGCACCTACTACTCACACCAATCCCAGCAAAGTTGCTGCAATTTCTTATTGAAATTGGAGCAGAAACTTGCAAATTCTTATTGGTACATTTCAATAAGCCTTGTTGGTCCATTCAATAAGCCTTATTGGTACATTTCAATAAAAAGAATGACCTTCAAACCAATAAAGTTATTGAAACATTTCAATAAGCATCACATTTCAATAATGACAACCCAAACCAATAACCTTACTGAATCTTTTCAATAAGGCGTACTCTGGGTGGGGATGGTCCCACCTATGAATACAGAGATGAAGCAGCCTGGCGCTACAGCTTCGACAGTCAATGCCCGCGCCCTATGGAATTCATTGATGCGCTGGATCTTGCAATCACCATGTGGGGCCCTGCGCAGTTTTTGTCGTTCAGCTCTCTAACAGCCATTTGATGAAGAAAAACATCTTCATTCCTTCAGGCCGGTGTGGCCTATCCCTATCCCGTACCCTGAGATGGTTCAGGGTCGTGCTGAGATGACCGTTGATAGAGATGATGGATGCTGGCGCCGTTTTGCCAACGTCCTGTTCTTGACTTTGAATTGGCTGCATTTGGGACGACCTAGTGTCTGGCCTCCGGCCTTCTTTTCTCGGGCTGCTTTGACAGTGGAGCAGCATGCCATTTTGCAAAGACTTCATCTCCTGGTGGGAGAATGGCGAAGCTTCAAGGATGTGACAGCAGACTCAATGGGAAGAACAGCAGGTAAGATTGAATCCCTCGAGGGCTTAGTGGGCCAGCTTGAACAAACCGCTGCTCGCCTGCTGACAGGTACGGGATCAGGCAAGGGGCCAGCGATCCAGACCCATTTGTCTGGCCCGGAGCTGGCTTCAGTTGAGGCCATCCAAGCCACAAAGCCTATAGAGGCGGGGCGTCTGAGTTTCAAGGGTCGCCCAGCTTTTGATCCCTTGCCTTACCTAGCCGAACCTGCCAAGACGATGTACAACGACCCGTTGAGCTTTGCAATGGACCCTTCTGAGTGAATGGAGGAGGTTCCTGCTGTGAAAGTTCGAGGAGATCGAAAAGAAGTCCTCGGGCTCTTAGCTGCCCTCGATGCCACTCACCGCCTTGCCCTTTTCTCACCTTCAGAGGTCAGAATGGATCATCGCGCAGGAGTTTTCTGCTTGATGAAAAATTTGACCACCGACCGCCTGATACTCGATTGTCGACCAGCCAATTTACTACTTAGGTGGCACTTTGGACTTAGCTACTTATAAGTTACTTACGGGGGACTTATACACTTACGATTTCTGGTATAATTGACGGGCCAAACTCTTTTTTTCACCCCAAGAGCCACATATCTTGGCCGTCTTTGCGGTAAAACAGCGGAGCTTCCTTCGTTTGAAGGGCTTCCTCTAACGTCAGCCACCTACGCAAGAATCGGCTGAGACCACATGCCTCAACTGCATCATGGTGCGGCAGCCAAGAAACGCTGGGAAAGCGACAACACCACGGCTGCAGAGAACATAAAAGCTGCATCTATAAAAATATCAAAGAACAAAGCAGAAGAAGTGTACAAAAGGGACAAATCTTGTAATGCGCCGCGGACAATTCGCGGACATCCACTTTTTCACGCGGACACTCCGTCCGCCGCGGACACTTGTATACCTAGCCCTGCTGTCCTAGGCCGCCTATCCACCTTAGCTTGCGGACATTCGCGGACATCCCCAAGCTTGTCACCTGAAGCTCTGTGGGTGTTGGTGTCTGGACAGCCGCGGACACTGGCGGACAGGCGCGGACATTCTACTATGCCGCGGCTTCAAGCCCACGCGTGACCGCCATCATGAAGAGCAGGCTTGTTTCCAGCCACAGGGAGATGTCTCTCCAGGACACTTCCGCTCCTGCTGTTGGCAGCGAGGACACTTCCGCTCTTGCAGCTGGTAGCAAGCGCATCAAATCATTTTCTGCTGTGTAGACAAAGCCATGCGGGCCGAAAAAACAAAACCGGTTGCTGGAGCCCACGACTCAGCCAAAATAGATCACTTTCATGGCCATATATCGACGAGTGTTTAAAAAGTGTTTCTAAAGAACCAAAAAAACTAAGTAGCTAAGTAGTTTGTAAGTAGCTCGTAAGTATTTTGTCATTTTGAATGATCTACTTATAAGTAGTGCATAAGTGGCTAAGTATATCACAACTAACTTAAACACCAACACCTACTTACCATTGAATTAACCAACTTATAATAGACTTACCATGCCGTAAGTCTACTCTAAGTATACTTTAAGTATAGTTCAACTAGCTAAGTCCCGCGCGCCCCCTAAGTAGAACCAGGTCTCAACGTGTGGACGCAAACTATGGGCTCCTTGGCCCCCATCTTGAACATGTTCGTCCCCAACAATTGCTCGTTAGTTGCTGCAGGGGAAGACCTCAAGGACTACTACTACTCTTATATTATTTCCTCAACTCGGTCCAAAAGAAATGCACTGGCCATGCATCTGTCGCGTGCGGAGGCCAAGAAGTTTCGCAATGCCTACCGCGGAGCCCCTCGCGAGGCAGAGGTGCTTATTCCGGCGTTGGCCACTATGGCCATGGGAGATTTGAATTCAGTGGAGTTTGGCCAGCAGGCCCACGTCAGGTTGGGTCTACAACATGTCCTTGTTCGTTTGCAAGATTTCATGACCATGCGAGGAGCTTTCCCTAGACAGCACTGGGCCGTAGGCTGTGTGATTGACGACTTCATAGTTTTGGAGAGCACCCCGCATGGCACCCCTTCGTCTGAGCTGGTCTCCTTGGTTGGCTTGGAGTCAAACCCCAAGAAGAGGTTCAGAGCTGAGACAAATCCACAGTTTTGGGGAATCAGTATAGATGGGGCTTCGGCTTTGGTGCGAGCACAGCTGGACAGGGTTATTCCGCTGGCCTTCATCTCGGCTCGCATTGCCCGAGCAGGTGCTGCGCCCCGGCATTTGCTCGAAGTCGTTGCAGGCGCCTGGACCGCAATCATCCAAGCGCGAAAACGATGCATGTGCCTTTTGGATACCATTTTTGAGGAGATACAGAGGTACCCCTATGGCCAGGTTTTTGAGATTTCCCACAAGCTTGCTGCTGAATTGTTGACTTTGACAGTGATAGCACCTTTAATGGTTTCTGACCTACATGCTACGGCCGCTGAACAGTTGTATACAGTAGATGCATCTGACGATAGGGCCGCTGGAGTCGTTGCATACCTTCCTGGACCCATAGCTCAGGAGCTTCATCGACATGTCATGACTAGGGCGGCTTGGTCACGATTATTGTCCCCCTGGAAAGGGTTTCTCCGGGGGAAGGGGGCGCTTGAACCTGAAGAAGAAGTGCCACTGGGGGAAGAACCTGCTAAGGCGCACCCTCTCTGGGTGCAGCTTGCTAGGACCTGCAAGTTTGAAGTGCTGTTCAACCGTCGGGCAGCCGCTCACAAGCACATCAACGTGAAAGAGCTCAGGGCTTTGTTGACAGTTGAAAAACAGCATGCAGAGCAACACCCCTCGACTAGAGTTGGCGTCGGTACAGATTCTCAAGTTTGTTTGGGTGCAGTGGTGAAAGGTAGATCCTCGTCCTTTATTTTGAACGATATGTTGCTGAGCCATTTGCCCACACTTTTGGTTTACAACTGTTCTACTGGACATCAATATCTTCCTTCCGCTGAAAATCCATCCGATGATCCCACTCGGTTGCGAGAGCTGCGCTTGCCATCGGAGTCTGCTCCTAGCTGGCTTGAGAAAGCCTTTGACGGAGACTTTGATGAGTTTGATCAGTTTTTGAAAGAGCATCACGTGAATCTGGAGGTTCTGGCACGCTTGCCTAGTTTCGAAGAAGAGGAAGTGCCGGCGTCGTGGCTGGCTTCCGGGCGTGAGCTCAGGCGAAAGCTTTTTGATTTTCAGCAGAGATCTCTGCATCATGGGAAGCATAGTTCTGGTGGAGCAACTTTGAAGGCTGAGCGGAAGATGGCTAGAGACACAGCAGAAACCTCAGCTCCTCTCTTGTGGAAAGCCGATTGTTTTCCTCCCTTGTCTCCTGATGCGGAGCGGGCGCTGAGAAAGCTCCCGGCGAGTCATTTTGTTTTTCCCCGAGCGTGGACTGCAAAGCAACGTCGTGAGTCACTGCAAAGGTCAGGAGCCCTGGATTTATTTTCCGGTAGTCGAGGACTGGCTCGATCCCTAGCTCGCCATGCCGGAACTTGGGCGCTGACCTTTGACATTGCTCATGATCCCAAGCAAGATCTCCTTGCTGCATCAGTGCAGACGCAGATAGAGCAGCTGGTCGCTCTGGGCTGTTTTCGTGTCATGACTGCGGGTCCTGTCTGCTCTAGTTTTTCAAGAGCAGTTAGGCCTCCGGTGCGAAGTCGGGAACATCCGTCGGGTTTGCCAGGGCTCACCATGAATATGCAACGCAAAGTTCTTGATGGAAACACTTTCTCTCACTGGTTAGCTTTGTTGGTGGAACGATGTTTTTCTGCTGGTATGTTGGTGGTAGTGGAAAACCCCTGGCTCTCCTTTCTTTGGGACCAAGCAGAGTGGCAGCGCCTCACGCAAGTAGAGTCTTGTGGCTACTTCACCACTGATGATTGCAGATGGGGCATGCCTTGGAGAAAGCGTACGCGATTTTTCACCAACAGTTCCTTGAGGGGCAACAAAGTGTTATGTCAATGCCAAAGGCCGGTCTCACACGTCCGGCTGTCAGGGTATTCTGCAAAACACAAGGTGCCATGGACTAAGGTGGCTGAGAGTTACCCAGTCAAACTCTGCAATGCACTGGCGGTCTTTTTAGCAAACGATCTCTTGCCAGTCGAGCGGCGACGCAAGCTGGATATTGCTGCCTGCGCCAGATGCAATGCTCGGTTGGCGAAGCACAAAAGCCTGGGCCCCGACCTCGGCGATTGCGCCCTGCTGTCGACCTGGAGCAAGTGCAGATGCTCACATCTCAGACGCTTTTTATTCAGCAAAGAGTTCGTTCCATGTTTGCTGCTTGGTTGGAAAACGAGCTGACACCTGAAACTTGGAGCATGTTGAGTGGGCAGCAGACGCTTGGGATCTCCTGGCACGGTGGGAACGGGTGCAACCAGTCGAGCATCGGACCCCTATGCCAAAGTTAGTGTTTGATGCAATGATGGCAGTAGCTTGGATGTGGGGCTGGAAACGCTTCGTTGCAGTCTCAATGCTAGCTTTCCATGGGAAACTACGGGTGAGCGAACCTCTCCGAGCAGTCCGGAGGGACCTTTTGCTGCCGGTTGAAACTGGATCCGAGATCCGTTCACTTCCTGGACATACATTCGCTCCACTTTTTCCCACACAAATCCCTAAAGTAAACCTTTCGCAAAATGTTTAACAAATCTCATGTTGAGGGGCAAAAGGTTAACATTTGCTTGTTTAGCATCAGAACACAGTGCACTACATGTCTTCTAAAGCAAGCATTCGCTTGC